TAATAATAATAATAATAATAATAATAATAATAATAATAATAATAATATAGGAAATACTAATGCTCTGATGGTCATTTGGAAAAATCCTTTCTTCGTGAGCCCCTAGAAGCCAAATTTCAAGTTTGTAAGCTTTACGGTTCTGGAGATTTTGTGATGATGCGTGAGGGGTGTTTTGCTTTTATATAGAGAGAAGAAGAAGGAAGAAAGGAGAAATAATAATAATAATAAGGAGGAGGAGGAGGAGGAGGGAAGGATGATGTGCTGATGTTGATATGTATATCAATCCCGTAAATCGGATTAACGTGGTAAGTTTCACTCGTATTCATATTACTTTTATTTTATTTATTTATTCATTTAGTTTGTCAAGCATGTCTGAGAAAACAAGCATAAAGTATGAACATCCTGTATAAACGTAGAAGTATAAACGGTTATAAGCATATACAAAATAAAACTAGTAGGAATAAATGGGAAGCGTAAGTCAGGGGGTGATAGGAACCCCCCCCCCCACCCTACATAGACACACATTGTCCCATGAAATGATATTGATGTATGTTTAAAAAAAAAAAAAAACTTTACTACTACTATAGCAACAACAACGACAACAAAGAGCCGGCCGGTGCTTCGCGCTTCCTCCAGCGGCCCGACAAGCGCTCGGGGTTGAGCCGGGACAGGAGGCGGGGATCGAGGGCTGGCCGAGGGCGGCGCGTCCGGAGAGGGGGAAGCCCGGCTCGCCATCGCCCCGTCCGAAGCGGCGCGGTCGTTGTGCGCGCAATCCGGCGGCGGCGGCGGCGATCATCATGCCTGGCCGTCGGAGCGGCGCTCTGTCGGAGCGGAGCCCTTTGCTGGCTTACCGGCTGTGCAGCAGCTCCTCGCTGGAGGCGGACGAGGCGGCCCCGACGGCGTCGCGCAAGCTCTCCACCTTCCTGGGCGTCGTGGTGCCCACTTTGCTCTCCATGTTCAGCGTGGTGCTTTTCCTCCGCCTGGGTGAGCCCGCCAGGGAAGCCAGGCATGGGGAGGCGGGTGCCCGGGGGTGGGAGAGAGAGAGACCCGAGCCCGCCTCGCCGACCGACCGACCGCCCGACGGGCCCCCGGCAGCGGCGGGACCCAGCCTGGAAAGGCAGCCAGAGACGCGCGCTGTGCGCGGGGGAGACTTTGAGCCTCGGTGACTTTTGTCAGGCGCTGCTTGTAAGGGGCTTCGAGCCCGGGTGCCGAGGAGGCAGGACTGAGCGGGTTGGGGTGGTGTTCCCGCTGCTTGAGCGTGTCGTGTGAATGCAGGTTGGTTAACCTGGGGAGAGGGAGGTGGGGGAGTTCAGCAAGTCTTGTGAATGCCGCCTGGTTTATCCCGGGAAGGAGAGTTTTAAGCCGTGTTGTATGAATGCAGCCTTGGTTATGCCGGAAGGAAAGTTAAGCTGGCATGTGAATACAACTTGGTTGTCCTGGGGATGGGGTGGGGTGGGGTGGGGGGGAAATTCAGCGTGTCATGTGAATGCGGCCTGGTTATCCTGAAGGACAGTTTAAGCTTTGGTGTGGCCTGGTTATCCCGAGGGCTGGGGAGGCAGTTAAGTG